AGATAATAGCCTCTGATGACTAAATCCAAAGCAGAATTCTGCATTTTTCTGGCATCATTTATCTCCAGCATTTAGTAATTACCATTTCTTCTTTTTTTGAACCTCTTTCTTTCCTTGTTGTTGTTAGAGCCATCTAGTTCTGACCATAGTGATGTTGTTATAATGTTTACGAGGAGTGGCTTGTGGGTTTGAAATGCCCACCTTTTGGTTAGCAGTCCAGTATTTATCCTGCAGTGCCACACCAGGACTCCTTTATGTGTTATAAAACCACACTCCCTTTTTGATTGTGCTGTGCCATCTTGACCTCCTTGTCATATTCTCTTTCTCTGCTTTTTTCTCCAATATTGGTGTTTCTTAGGTTGTATCTTGGGCCTGAGTAATCTTAGCCACTATATTGGTTTTAATTACTTTATCTTTGCTAATGTCTCCTAAGTTTACCTTTCTGGTGAATATCTCTCTTGAGTTTCTCCATATACAGATGTCTGCTAAATGTCTATTTTTGGACACTCTACAGACACATAAGGCTTGACATGTTCAGAATTGAGCTCATAATATTTCTCTTAAAACCACCTTTCTTACTAATATTTCCCTTTTTAGTGAGTGACAGTACCGAGTACCTAGCTGTCCAATCCAGAAATCTAAGAGTAATTTTAGACTCCACTCTCTTCTTCATTTCCTATTTATTCAATCCTATTTCTTCAAGTCCTATTTATTCAATCTCTTATATTTGTCATATCTACCTACTCTTTTTCCTTTTTATTAGTATTACTGAATGGTTTTAAATCAGGAAAGGTATGCACAGATTTGTATTCTTTCACCATACTTATTCTATCTGTATGTGAGTAACTAATCTGAGAAACTGGATTATATAAAGAAGAACATGGCACCAGGATTGCAGGAAGACTCGTTAACCACCTGTGATATGCAGATGATACAACCTTCCTTGCTGAAGGCGAAGAGGACTTAAAATACTTACTAATGAAGAAGTCCTGGTATGGCTCTATGGGATTAAAGCACTGGGCCATAAGGTAAGATTGAACCACAAGGTCGGTGGTTCAGACTCACCAGCTGCACCTTATACAAGATCACTAAGAGTGGGAACCTACTTGATGGCACTTAACAACAGCAACAACAATGAAGATCAAAGACTTCTGTAGGGTTTGAGCTTCAATATAAAGAAAACAAAAATCCTCACAACTGGCTCAATAAATACAAGATTATAAATGGAAAAAACACTGAAGTTTTCAAAGATTTCATTTTGCTTGGATCCACATGCAACACTCATAAAAGTAATAAGATGTTTTACATTAAGCACATCTGTTGCAAGAAACCTCTTTAAAGTGTTGAAGAGCAAAGATAACAGTTTGAAGGTTAAGGTGTACCTCATTCAAGCCATAGTATTTTCAGTAGCCTCATGTGCATGTGAAAATTGGACAATGAATAAGGGTAGTTAAGGTGTTGGAGAAGAATATTGCATACTATGGACTGGCAGAAGAACAAACAAATCTGTGTTGAAAGAAGTACAGCCAGAATGCTTCTTAGAAGCCAAGAAGGTGAAACTGTGTCTCTCATCATTTGGACATGTTATCAGGATGGATCAGTTTTTGGAGAAAGACATCAGGCTTCGTAAAGAGAATGGTCAGTGAAAAAGTGGAAGACATGTCCCCCACCCCACCCATACCAGATAGATTGACACAGTGGCAGTAGCAATGGGCTCAATCGTAGCTACAACTGTGAGGATGGTGTTGAACAGAGCAGTGTTTCATTCTGTTGTGCAGAGTGTCGCTTTGAGTCTGAAATGACTTAGCAGCACTTAACATCTCAGCCATGGCGTACTGGGTTAGGTGTTGGGTTGCTAACCACAAGGTCTGTGATTCAAAGTCAGCTCCCAGGAGAAAGATGAGACTCTTTTCTGTAAAGATTTACAGTCTTGGAAACCCTATGTAGAGTCACTACGAATTGGAATCTATTCGGTGGCAGTGGGTTGTTTAATGAGTGTCTCAGCCTAAGCAACCATTATCTATCTTCTACATTTTTTTTTTCTGTGCTTTTAACTGATTTACTTTGTCCCTAACCAAAATATTCTCTAGATTGCAGTCAAATTAAACATTTTGGTTGCTTTATTTTCAGTATCCCCACTAGAAATTAAACTCTGTGACAGCAGGAATCATATGTGTTTGTTATATCCCCAGAACTATTCACATAGTAACACTAAATAATCACTTGTTCAATCAAAGAAGGATGGGGAGAAGAAAGAATGATTTCCAATGGGGAAATTGTGAATGAGTTGTAATCTTCAGAATTTTTCTTATATCAATGACATTGGTAAGCGAGAGCACAGTTAAGTAAGAATGTGTTCATCAAAAAGAGAATTCCACAGAGTACAGTGGATAGAGCTAGTAGCAAGGCTAGAAATTTGCTTAAAGCAGGACTTCCTTACTTGTATGTCATGTGGCATAACTAACCCACTGCTGTTGAGTCTATTCCAACTCATAGCAACCTTATATAGGGTGTCCTGAGGCTATAAATCTTTATAGGAACAGAAAGCCTCCTCTTTCTCTACTGAAGCAGCTGGCTGGTGGATTCAAACTGCTGACCCTGTGCCACCAGGGTTTCCCATGTGGCGTTCAAACGTAGATTTGAATACAGGAATCTCAATTCCTGTCTGGTTTCTCTTATAACTCATTTGTTGCACAGTAGTATGCCATGTAGTTTAGTGGGTTACAGATTGGGCTTCTAACTGCAAGGTCATTAATTTGAATCTACCAGCCACTCTGAGGGAGAAATATGAGGCTTTCTGCTCCCGAAAAGATTGATTACTGCGGAAATGCTATACAAAGTAGCTTTGAGTTGGAACTGACTAGATAGCATACAGCAGCAGTATGCCTCCCTCTTAATAACTCACTCATGGCACACTAGGACTTCTGATGTGACGATGTGGATCCGCACTGGACTGCAAACCACAAGGTTGACAGTTCAAACCTACCAGATGCTCCTCAGAAACCCTATACAGAGTCACTACGAGTCAGAACCAACTGGATGGCAGTTAACAACAACAATAGTATGTCAGCACTCATGGAAGCAGCAGTCAAGAAATCAAATGACAAATTGCATCAGGCAAATCTCCTGTAAAACACCTCATTGAAGTGTTCAAGAGCAAAGATGACCAATTTGAGATCTACGGTGCATCTGGCCCAAGCCATAGTCTTTTCGATTGCTTCACATGCACATGAAAGTTGGGCAGCAAGTAATGAACACCATGGAAGAATCGCTGCATTTAAATTATGGTGTTGATGAAGAATATTAAAAGTATCACAAAGCTGTTTTTTAAGAAGTACAGCCAGAATACTCTTTAGAAGCTAGGATACTGAGAGTTCATTGCTCATATTTTGAATATGTTATCAGAAGAGACCAGTCCCTGGAGAAGGACCTCATACTTGGTAAAGTAGAGAGTCAGTAACAAGGAGACTCCCAATGAGATGGATTGACACAATGATGGTAGCATTGGGCTCAAACATAACAATTGGAGCAGGAGTAGGCAGTGTTTCATTCTGTTGTGCATGGGGTCACATGAGTCGGAATTGACACGATGAGACCTAACAACAAGAGGTATGCTATACAATCTGTACTAGTGTGTCACAAATGAGTTATAACAGAAACCAAACAGGAATTGAGACACCTGTATTCAAACCTAGGTCTATCTGATTCTAAAACTCATGGTCTTGTAAATCCTATTGTCTCAAAAATTAGATAAATCTGACGTCTGATGACATTGTTATTAGGCTTTCATTTGAAGAGAAAATTCAAAGATAGACATTATAATATGATTTCATGTAGGAGCCCCTGGGTGGTACAAACAGTTGATGCTAACTGAATAATTGGCAATTCAAGTCCACCCAGAGAAACCTTGGAAGAAAGTGTAGGAATCTAGTAAGAAAAAAAATTCAGCCATTGAAAACCTTATTTATGGAGAACAGCTCTACCCTGGTACACATGGGATTGGTATACGTCAGGTTTGACTGGATGACAACTGTTTTATTTTGTCATAATATTCTTAGAGATCAATTTAGCTATTTCTCTTTTGTTATTTTCATTAAATGTGTTATATGTGGTTCTGTAGAATAAGCACTGGACTGCTAACTGCACGGTCAGCAGTTCAAACCCACCAGCTGCTCCTTGGAAACCCTAAGGTTGCTATGAGTCAGACTAACTTGATAGCGCTTAGCAACGACTTTAGTTATTTTCATTAAATGTGTTATATAAAAATTTTAAGGCATTATGATTAAGGTTATGTTTCTGGAGTTAATTTACTGTATACCTATGATAAGAATTACTTTATAACAAATGTTTGTAAGTTCTACATAGAGCTCTGGTGTGGCACAGTAAGATAAGCACTGGTCTGTTAATCACAAGATAGGTGGCTCATACCCACCAGCCACTCCTTAGAAACCCTATACAGGGTCACTATGAGTTGGAACCACTCATAGTGGTTCACTAACAACAAGTTACACATGAGGTCACCATAAGTCAGAGTCTACTCAGTGACAACTAACAGTGCTTTAATTGCATTTATAAGGTTCTATTTCTATAGTCTTATCTGAAAAACTGAATTCCTTAAACAAATAAGAGAAGCAATTTTGTGGTTCATTTTTATTGATTATGGTGGTGGTGGTTATGTGCCGTGGAGTTGGTTCTGACTCACAGCGACCGTGTACAGGGTTTCCGAGGCTGTAAATCTTTATGGGAGCAGAAAGCCTCATCTTTCTACTGTGGAACAGCTGGTAGTTTTGAACTGCTGATCTTGTGGTTTGCAGCCCAATTCGTAACCACTACACTACCAGAGCACCTAGTCACTTTAAAATTTGTCTGTTTTTTGAATCTTCAGGATTTCAGGTGAATTGATGAACTTTTCATTATAAAAACATCTAAATAACAGTTTATTTTATATAAAAGGTTGTTTTCAGAGAGTTTTAAACATTTTTTTTTTTTTAACATTTAAGGTCAGCAAAGGAGGCAGAAGACAAAATCAAAAAGGCAATAGAAAAGGGAGAAACTCTTCCTACAGAGGCCAGATTTGATTCCAACTGTATTACACCAGGTAAATTCAATGAGAGAAAATCTGAAAGCTTCACTATGTAATTTTTTTTCTTTTTATAAATGTTTTATTGTGAATTATGTGATAGTTTACATGCGAGAACATTAATTAGCTTTATGTTCATCCGATCGTTTCATTGCCGTGGCTACAATCCCCTCTATGCATCATCAAACAACCAAAGGGTACACCCCGCAAGCCTACCCCTCGGTCATCAGCACACAGCCCCTCTCCCTCTCTGGGTCTAGAGTCCCCAGCCACTTCATCTCTCCATGTCATCCTCTCTGCCTCCATCTCTGGCATCACTGTTTCTCTGGGTAGGGTCCTGCACTCAGCTCTTCTCCCTTGATGGTCCCAGGGACCTCCGCTCCTAGACTACAGAGTCAACCACTCCTCTCCTTTTGCTACAAATGTGTACCTTTACATTTCCAACCCTCACAGTCAGTCCTGATAGCAATTATTCACTATTGTATCACAAGAGTTGTGTTTCCATCTCCTTTCATCAGCCCCGCCCAGACAGATTGGTTACTACTCAGTGGAGATTCTACCTTCCTCCAAGACCTCTGGATCTAGGCCCCCTCTTGAAAGCTTGTAAGACAGTCACTTATTGCCTTAATAGAGCCTTTCCTACCCCACTCCCCTTTTTAGGTAGCCAGTGTCCAAGCTGCCTATCCCTATCTACCCTGTGTATCAAGGTGGAAGGAACGATCCTCGCTGTAAAGATTTGTTCACTCTTTTGAGCTACTGCCTCCATAGGTATAGGTCAAGTTCATCAAATTGTATCAGATTACTCTTTTTTTTCCTCTTCTTTCTTCTTCTAGTTTAGTTCTGATCATCCAGCCATTGAAGCCAGGTCAAGTGGGTATTATTGGCAAGTGTGGGTGTTCTTGTGCATATACCCTCACATCTTATATGCTGTACGCTTCACTCTCCATTCTAGTCCTCGGTGGCTATGTCACTGACTCCAGACCCAGGATTCCCCAGGTCTTGTCATATTGCTGACCAACCAGGTCTCCACCCGGGTTCACAGATGTCTATTGAACAAGGTAGGACTTAGCTTGCAACTTCACTATTGTTTTTCCCTCACTTCCCCTTATTGGTGACCAGCGTGGTCACCAGTCAGAGCACATGTCTGCTTGTGTATTCCCCTTGAGTCTTAGTCTTGGAAGGGGGTTTGCCCTGAGGGGACCTGACCATTCTTCCATTTTTGTAGGTCTCTTTTGGTTTCTTGTAGTAGTGTTTTGTAGTTTTCTTTGTATAGGTCCTTTGTTTTTCTGGTTACATTTATTCCTAGATATTTTATCCTTTGGGCAGCTATTGTAAATGGTGTTGCTTTCCTGATAATCCTTTTCAGCGCTGGCGTTATTGGTATGGAATAATCCGACTGATTTTTGTATGTTGATCTTACTATATCTTGCCACTTTGTTGAATCTTCCAATGAGGTCTAATAGCTTTTTTACTGAGTCTTTGGGGTTTTCTATGTATAGAATCATATCGTCTGCAAATAAGAGTTTTCTTTCCTGTTTTCCAATTTGGATGCCTTTAATTTCCCTGTCTTGCTGTATAGCTCTTACTAAGATTTCCAGCACAATATTGAATAGGAGTGGTGACAAAGGACATTCTTGTCTGGTTCCTGGTCACCTAGAGGGAAGACTTTCAGTTTCTCTCCATTGAGAGTAACAGAGGCTGTTGGTTTTGTTTACACAATACAGAGTATTCCATATTTTTGAGAACTTTGCAAAAAATTTTCTGAGATAGTACTTTCTCTTTCATTCCTGCCCTTGTCACACATTGCTCAATTTAATAAACAGTTTGTCATAAGACTCTATTACTTTTGACTATTTACCATCTGGGCTTTTTTTTTTTTTTTTTTTTTTTAACTTTTTATTGTGAATTGAGTGAAGGTTTACAGACAAGATTACCAGCTGTATATGCAACAAGTCATAACATTGTTTCATCTCAGCAGTTACATTTCCCTCCATACAACAGCACTTATCCCACTACCTTGTTGTGCTTCCTATTTGCATTCCATCCATCTTCCTATCCCTTCTCAACTTTGTCCGTAGGAAAATGTTTTTGAGTTTGAATGATTGGACCATTCCATGCCATGGTGAGCATACCATACTAGCAGTGTTGTAGCCCCTGCCGCCTCCCCTTATAAACCTGTCTACTGGTCGATTGAAAATTGGTTCATGAGGGTGATTTCCTTTCTATACCTGAAGGTTTGTTGAGGCCCATAGTCTCAGGTTCTTCCATTCTGTTTCTGACCCATAAACCTTAAATAAAATAAATGTTTTAATTTTTGTTAAATAATTTTGAGTTTTGTTCCACATTTTCGCCCACTCTATCTGGGATCTTCTAATGTGATCTGTATCAGAGCAGTTTGTAGTGGTATCCAGACACCCTCTAGTTCTTCAGGTCTCATAGTCATGGAGAGTGATGCTCACATGTTTTATTAGACTGTTGGACTAATTGATTCCAAGCCTCTTCAGTTCTTATCAGTCTTCTTTCTTCCACACATGGAGAGATCAACAACTGCCCTGTAGGCAACCACTCATAAGCTTTCAAAATCCCAGATGCTACCACCCAAGTAGGATGTAGAACATTGTCTTTGTGAACTCTGTTATGCCAACTGACCAGGGTGTCCCTTGAGACTCTGGTCCTGAGCCCTCAGACCCATAAACTTATTGCCTTATGATGTTTGGTAATATCTAGGAAGTTTCATCATGTTTTCCATAAAACCAAAATCATTCTTGACTCCTTTTCTATGTAAATAATGATTTTTGAGATGAATAGTGATTTTTAATAATAATATCAAGTATTCTTACTACTGGCAATCTAATTGAAGCTGCCTGCCTTAAAGAAAACCTTTAGAATCTATCAGAAAGGAAATAGAGATTGAGGTTTACTTAACTTCATTTGGGGGTAGAGAACGAGGGAAAATAGAAACAGTTGTGGCGCTTACTAGGAGAAAGGTACAGCATGATTTGATTTTCAAGATACTCAAGAGAGCTTTTGACCTTTTCTGGAGATCTTATACCTTAGTGTCCCCTGGATACTCAGATCCAATTTTATGTTGTCATTAGAAAGTTACTGTTTTTATGTTTCTCTCAGGTGACATTTTTTATTTATAGGGACTGAATTCATGGCCCGGTTACACGAACAGCTGAAGTATTTTGTAAATATGAAGATTTCCACAGACAAGTCATGGCAAGGAGTTACCATCTATTTCTCAGGCCATGAGGTTACTATTTATTTTTCTTTAAAGAGTTTTTCTAAATTTAGTGTTCTGAAGTATAGCATATTAACACATTGTTTAAACATTAAATTCAGACTCCTGGAGAAGGAGAACATAAAATCATGGAATTTATCAGATCCGAGAAAGCAAAGCCAGAGCATGATCCAAACACGAGACACTGTCTTTATGGTTTAGATGCTGACTTGGTAGGTATAATGTTTATTGTTATTATAATTTTATGCCATTGAAATTAAATATCTAAGAGATTTAGTTTTATATAGAAAACTTGCTAACTGTTAATAGATATTGGAAACATAATAGTGATTGCTATTTCTGTGTCAAAATTCTAAAATAATTGCAAGATGAGCTTGTTATATATTGCATTATGACCCTAAATCATATTTTGCAGAATTTTACAGTGTTGTAAATCCTAACCTCTTAACCAATGGTTATAATTCCATTTGGGAATGGGTTATGTATGTTATATTAATGAGGCAGGATTTTTTTTGTTAAGTGCCCTTCGAGTCAGTTCCAACTCATAGCAACCCTGTAAAAGGTTTCTGAAGGGCGATTTGTGGAATATACCAGCCTTTCAGAATACACAGGAATCAAATTGACTACATCTGTTAGAAGAAAGAATGGAGAAACTCGGAATCATCATAGAGACCCTATACATAACAAAATGAAATACTGCCCAGTCCTGCACCATTCCCACAGTCATTGGCATGCTTGAAACCATCGCTACTGTCACTGCCAATCCATCTCATTGGCAATTTTCCTCCTTTTTTCACTGACCCACCACTTTACCAATTATGGTGACCTTCTTCAGGGATTGGTCCTTAATGATAAACATGTCTGAAATATGAGAGATGAAATCTAACCATCCTGGCTTCTAAGGAACATTCTGACTGTACTTCCAACACAGATTTGTTTGCTCTTCTGGCAGTTCATGAAGGTCCTGATGCATCATTATGGTCAACTCTACTTTGAGGAAGCATCTCTTCCCCATTCATATTTTGAGTGCTTTCAACCTGAGGGTCCTATCTTCCGTTACTATATCTGACAACATTCTGGTGCTATTCATATTGTTTCAGTATTCAATATTCTGGTGCTGTGTGACATCGGCCCACTGCTATTGATAAAGTTTTTGGAGGCTTACCTTTCAGAAGTAGTCTGCCTTTCCATATTCCTAATCTGCCTTAGTCTGGAAGCTCAGATGAAACCTGTCTACCATGAGTGACCCTGCTTATATTTAAAATATCAGTAGCATTACTGCCATCATAAAAACATGCAAGCCACCATAGTACAACAAACTGACATGTAGTAGAGAGACTATTGTTGTTGTTATTAAGTGCCATGGAATTGGTTCCGATTCATAGAAATCCTGTATAGCGTTTCCAAGGAGTGGTTGTTGAATTTGAACTGCCGACCTTGTGATTCAAATCGACTTTTTGGTCCACTGCTTTAGCCCAAGCGCCAAAACAGGACTCCAACAGTGGAGAAACTATAGTGTATATTTAATATACTCCTTGTACACTGCATCCACTTTAAATAATGTTTAACTATCCATCCCTTCCTGTCCCCTCACCTCTGAGATTAAAGCAAACCCTATATGTTATGTCATTTACTCTATAAATATTTCATAATATATATCTGAAGGATTTATTTTTTGACTTAACCATAGTACCATTATGTTACATAAAATCAAAGAATCAATAAATCACTAATGTATCATTAACCAGCTAATATTCTGTTTTTCTTACTGCCTCAAACATTTTGTTTTGTGTTATTGTGTGAATCAGGAGTGAAGTAAATAATATATGTTACAGTTGCTTGATGTGTCTTACTACACAATTTTGACTTATCTGGGAATTTAGAATACCCTTTTCCAGTTTCTCTTCTGAGTTTTCATATACTGGAGGTAGCCTCACCTCTAGACGAGTCTTACATTTCTTCTGTCATAAAAAGCTGCTGCCACTCATTTCTAACACATTCCCCCATAGCAAGTGGAAATGTGTAAAAGCCAAAAGAAAATTTGGGGACTTTTGTAGGGTGGGAAATGAGCGGGGTGATTATAAAGGCAATGTAAGTCTAGGATGGTCATTCATTATTAAAGCACTCTCTATATATTCATTAAACTTGCAAATATACATTGATATTTATATATTTAATGTGCTAATAAGTTGTTTCTTTGTTGACCTTAAATAATAAGCATGTTTTCTTATTTTGTTGACCTTAAATAATAAGCATGTTTCTTTTTTTGATTGCTTTGTGAACCCAATACTATAAAAAATGTTAGAATAAAATTATTTTTTAATCATTTTTCACTAGATTATGCTTGGATTAACAAGTCACGAGGCTCATTTTTCTCTTTTAAGAGAAGAGGTTCGCTTTGGTGGCAAAAAAACACAAAGGTATATCATACTTACATATATATTGGAAGAAAGAAAAGAAATTATTAAGCTGTTATCTTATAAGAGGTTGATTTAATTTTTGCTATTTAGAGTTCATTTGCTTTGCCCCTTCCCCACCTAAGCATATATTTGCCTTATAATTATTTTCAGAAATCAGAATGTTATACTGTTTAATTTTTTAGTTTAATTTTGTTTGAATAAATGCAGATTCGAAGTTGGCAAACGTTAAACTTCAGAGAACTTTTAAAAATCATTTTGGAACTGAATTTTTATTTATACCTTTCCTGGGCCATGATTGCATTCTGACATAGATGTAGTTCGCTCAGCTTACATTATTTGTGGTTTAACTTGCAGTGTAGGCCAAGAGTCAGAAATGTATGAGTATAACCCTAAACTTAACCACAGAAAGTTAAGTAGGAAAAGTGATAACACCTTTCCATTGTAGGCTTAGACTGTATATTTCCATGGATGCTGACTCACTCATCTGTCTGCTTTCTGCTAATGCATGATCTTAAAGGTGCCAGATCCTACTGGGTTCCTAACATCTCATACATATTATTTGCTGTTTTTGCTGTTAAGTGCTGTTGAATTGGTTCTGACCCTTAGTGACCCTGTATAGGGTTTCCGAGGAGCAGCTGGTAAACTTGAACTGCTTTGTATAGTCTGTGCCTACAATGGTAAAGTATTATCGCTTCTTCTACTTAACTTTCTGTGGTTAAATTTAGGATTATACTCATATATTTCTGACTGCAAACGGATTTGCAGTGTGGTGTATTAACCCACAGCGCCACACCAGAACTGCTGTACATAGTATTTAGGATTACTTAATTCTGAGTGTTCTCTTCCACAGGAAGCATAATGTGAACAAGTTCTTTTTAACTTACTATGTTTTTATCTCTTACAATTACAATTATATTTTTGTCTTTACATTACCATTGGATCTTTCTTATAAATTTCATGCTATCTTCTAATGCCAGTTTTTATTTTAAACTTTGCTACATTTTAAAACTTAGGCCTTAAAAATACAGTAAACTGTCCTCTCACTGATTGCAGGGTATGCGCACCAGAAGAAACCACATTTCACCTCCTACATTTGTCTTTAATGAGAGAGTATATTGATTATGAATTTTCAGTATTAAAAGTGAGTATTAACATAGCAATGGACCGAAGATTTATATTTAAAAATTTTTATAGGATTTAACTTTTTTTCCCCCCATTTTGCTATAGGACAAGATCTCATTTAAATATGATATTGAAAGGATAATAGATGATTGGATTTTGATGGGATTTCTTGTTGGCAATGATTTTATTCCTCATCTACCTCATTTACATATTAATCATGATGCACTGCCTCTTCTTTATGGAACATATATTACTATCCTGCCAGAACTTGGGGGTAAGAAGATTTTAACAATATTTATTTCATCTAGTTTTTACGGTCACAGTTAACTCTGATTACAGTCACTGATAACTGAACCATATAATCCTATCCGCATCTTCCCACACCTTTTCTTATCCAGACCCTTCAGGAAAAAGTCATTTAATGAGAGTTGCAAAGACATGGATAAAAGAGGCATCTTAAATAATTCACTTAATTGATAACATTACTCAGTTTATGTAATTATTGCATGTACTACTAAAAAGGAGAAAATTTGAGGTTCTTTTGGTATAAGATAAGAAGTTCTGAGGTTGAAATTTTCAATAATTTGTAAACCAATGAAAATGACAAGAGTTAAGCAGCCTCAAGTACTGATTCCTAACTAATCTTTGCCTTTAATTCCTTAACATTATCAACAGAAGTTGTTGACTTTCATGGTCAAAAATAAAAATTTCATTATTATAAATAGGTAGGCATTAGAGTAATGTGAAGAAAAAAAATTATACAATGTTAGTCAAAAATTATCCATACTCTGATTATATTAAAACGCCTGTCCATGTCCATGACTGATGACAACATTGAGCTTGCACATGAAATGGTTCTGCTGAATAAACAAATGACAGTGGATTGTGTGGCAAGTCATTTGCATATCAGCCATGGCTCTCTGCCTATGAAATAGTTCACGACAGACTTGGGTTTTGAAGTTTGTGCTAGAGGGTACCAAACCAACTCACGGAAGAGCATAAACAGAAGCATTTGGACATCTGCAAACAAAGTTTGGACCAATACTTGAAGGTAAACTTTTTTTAAAAAAATCATTATTGATGACAAGACATGGATTCATTGCTAAGAGCCTCCCAGTAAATGGCAGAATATGGAATGGAAACATCGTCAGTCGCCTACCAAGAGATCAAAAGTCAACCATCAGCTGGGAAATTGATGCTGACAGTATTTTGGAATTCTCAAGGGCTAGTATTGGAACACTATCAGGAAAAAGGTTCAACAATCAGCAGTAATTATTACAGTGCTCACTGAAGAGCTGAAGCCTAAACTTCGGATTAAACTCAGAGGACTGCTATCCCAGGGCCTTTTGATCTTGCATGGCATTGCATGTCTGCACACCTCTGCCCACACTGTTGACACTCTACAAAAACTTCATTTTGAGGTGTTAAAGCATCCTCCCTATGGTCCTGATCTTGTTCCATTGGACTTTCACCTGTTTGATCCCCTGAAAGCAGCCCTTCAAGGCTGAAGTTTCACGTCTGATGAAGAAGTGAAGATAGCGGTACATTCATGGCTCACAGCTCAGCCTAAAACATTTTTAAATGAAGGAATATGAAAGCTTGCTGACAGATGGGCATTGTATTGAAAAGCAAGGAGATTATGTCAAAAATGATTTATGTGTCTTTTCTAAAGTTGATTAAAACAATACAGCCAGAGTGCGGATATTTTTTTCCTTACCTCGTACAATTAAAATGAAATTGATCACCCTTCCTCTTGGCCGCCCCACCCAGGCAGCTGCCCGTACCTGCCAGAGCATAGGAAATGGAAAGTTGGAAGTGGCAAGTTGAATTCAGTTCGCCATGGGGTTGTTTGGAAAAACCCAGGAGAAGCCGCCAATAGAGCTGGTCAATGAATGGTCATTGAAGATAAGAAAAGAAATGAGAGTAGTTGACAGAGAAATAAAACAGATATCAAAAGGGAAGAGGCGATGGTAAAACAATCTGTGAAAGATGCTGCCAAGAAGGGCCAAAATGATGTCTGTGCAGTTCTGGCCAAGGAGATGATCAGGTCAAGAAAGGCTGTGAGTAAGCTCTACTCATCCTAAGCCCACGTGAACACCATGCTCATGGGGATGAAGAACCAGCTTGCGGTCCTGCGAGTGGCTGGCTCCCTGCAGAAGAGCACAGAAGTGATGAAAGCCATGCAAAGTCTGGTGAAGATCCCAGAAATCCAGACCACCATGTGGGAGCTATTCAAAAAGATGATGAAGGCTGGGATCATAGAAGAGATGTTAGAGGACACATTTTAAAGCATGGACAATCAGGAAGAAATGGAAGAAGACACAGAAATGGTGATTGACAAGATTCTGTTTGAAATTATAGCAGGAGCCTGGGCAAACAAAGCACCCAGTAAAGTGACTGACACCCTTCCAGATCCTGAACCTCCAGTAGCAATAGCTGCCTCAGAAGATGAGGAGGGGGATGAAGTCCTGGATGCCATGCAGACCTGGCTGGCCACCCTCCGCAGCTAGGGGTGCCCAGCTGTCCTGATGGGTGCACACACACTCCTTAGAGGAAGCTGCCATTTTCTGTATCTCTTGCACTACACCTCTGTCATGAGGCTCTGCATTTTGGATACACTTTTCTGCTCATGTCTTCATTCTCTGCAGAGAGGTCTTGGGGGTGCTGTTAGACATGAGAGGGATGGTTTGGTGAGAGATTGTGTCATTAAAAATGCATCATTTTCAGGGGCATAAACAGACGGATTTTATTGGAAGGAGTGCAGAAAATTCTGTCTTCTCACCAAGTACTTCTGACAATAGAGCTGATTGCCTGAATGTTGAGGGCTCTCTGTACATGGTTTTGTCTGTAAACAGTAAATAAAGGAATTTTAATAAATTTCTGCTTTTAACACATTAAAAAAATGAAATTGATCAGCAAAGATGCTACTTTAGGAATAAATTTGAAACTGGGAAAACACAATGATAGCAGTGTTTTAGTCTTTTCTTCTCAAGTTAACATTAAATTTGATCATCTAGATATGTTCTAGAACATACTTAATTTATTTAACTGTAAGCAAATGTTGGATATGTGGTTGTTTTTGTTGTGGTTGTTCTTAAGTGCCGTGGAGTCAGTTCTTACTTAGAGCAACACTGCATATGGTTTCCAGGGCTGTACATCTTTACAGGAGCAGAAAGCATCATCTTTTTCCATGGAACCGCTGGTAGTTTCAAACTGCTGACCTTTAGCTTAGCAGCCCAACTTGTATCCACTATGCTCCTGGATATGTGGTAGAATCATTATTATGTGAACTTGGAATTAGTTTTATTTTGTTTCCGCATTGATGTGTCATGTATTATGGTAATACATCATTCATTAATTCTAGGGCCAATTACATAGCCCTCCACTGAGTGTTTTTTCATGATTAATAGATTATTAACATTCAACATTTTATAAAAAGAATTTTGTAGAATTGTGTAGGAAAAGTAATGTAAATTTTTGGTACCAATTTAGATCTTGTTCCTTTTAGGTTATATCAATGAAAGTGGACATCTTAACTTACCTCGATTTGAGAGATACCTTATAAAATTATCAGATGTAAGTAACTGGAAGTTTTTCTTTTCCTACTTCAGGGTAGCTTTAAATGGTCAGGAACCAAATATAGAAAAATAAAATATTTTAAAAATTATATTCAAATTGCTTACTTTGTATAAATAATTTCACCTAAATTATTTGTGAATTTATTTACTTTTTGATTTTTTTAAATTTCAAAGTAATAGATGAGGTCCCCATATGTATAGAAGGTCCCGGGGTGGCACAAATAGTGCTTAACTACTAACTAAAGGCTGGTGGTTTGAACCTACCCAGTAGAATAACAGAAGAAAGGTCTGGCTTCCTACAGATGATAGGTTTAAAAAACCCTACGGGCTAGGTCTTTCCTATAACACATGTTGTTTGTCATGAATCATAATCAACTCCATGGCAATGGGTTTGGTTTTGTTTTTTCATGTGTTTAAAAATATAATGTATTCCTATATACCCTGTGCTCCAGTAATAATCACTGTTAAAATTTAATTTGTGTTCTTCCAGACAAATTATTTTTAAATGAATTTTAACCATTTCTATACAGTTTGATCGTGAACACTTCAGTGAAGTTTTTGTGGACCTAAAGTGGTTTGAAAGCAAAGTTGGTAACAAGTACCTCAATGAAGCAGCAGGTATCGCAGCTGAAGAAGCCAAGAATTACAAGGAAAAGAAAAAATCAAAGGTCTCCATTTTCCTATGTGTCCTTTAATACTTTTATATAAATGACAAACTGAATCCTGTTTCTCATTTTCCTTCTTAGGATGTTTGGGTTGCCTCTTCTTGCTTTCATTTTCTGTATAGACATTTATAAAGCTTTGGTCACATTTTTATTAAGTTGAACCTACCTGAATCATTTAAGTCTGATCTTTAAACATCAGTTTCTTATTTTTACCCTTGAAAAAGAACATTGCGCTCCTGGATCTATTAGTAAATGCAGAAAACATTTCTAAATATAAAAGCTTAGAAAAGTAGCCATCTTTTAAAATTATTTGTTCAAAAACATTTTTTAAATTCTTAATGTATATATTTATAGCATTTAATATTACATATAAGACATTAACTAGATCAATGATTTTCTCTAAAAAGGATTTAAATATAAACTTAAATGTAAAATACAAGGAGTATCTAGTTTTAAGTATAGTTAATAGCAATATGTAATAAAATTTAGGTGCTTAATAAATGAATAATGGAATCAGAATATACTGGTGATTATGTGCTATGGAGTCAGTTCCAACTTATAGTGACCCTGTATATGGTTTCCAAGGCTGTGAATCTGTATGGGAGCAGAAAGTTTCATTTTTCTCCCACGGAATTACTTGTAGTTTCGAACTGCTGACCTTAAGGTTGGCAGCCAACTTGTAGCTACTACACTACATCTCTAATATACTCTAAGAATAATGTTTTATTTGTGTTAAATTGGAAAATGAATCTCTTATATTTTCCTCATCCTAATTGTGGCGCTGTGGGTTTATGCGCCAGACTGCAAAGCCTGTCAGCGATTCAAGCTCATCAGCCACTATTTGAACCCTATACAGGGTCGCTATGGGTCGGAACCGACTAGATGGCACTTAACAACAACAATCCACAATAGGAGTCCTGGTGTGACATTGAGGGTTAATGCACTGGACTGCAAAGTTGGGTTGCACTACAAGATCGGTTGTTCAAGCTCACCAGCCACACCTTGGAAATCCTATACATGGTCATTATGGGTCAGAACCGAATCAACGGCACTTAACAGCAACAACAAACCATAATACGGACTTCTAGTGTGACACTATTGGATGAGCACTGGAATGGAAACCACAAGGTCGGCAGTTCAAACCCATGCTGCTCCTTGGAAACCCTATACAGGGCCATTATGAGTTGGAATTGACTCAATGACTTAAAAACAATCCATAATATGCATTATATATATTAAAGGCACTTTGATAGTGCTGTAGGATAAGCACTGGACAGCTAATCTCAAGGGCAGTAGTTGAAATTCACCACCCACTCCTCTGGAGAAAAATACAACTTTCTGCTTCCATAAAGATTTATAGCCTTGTAAACC